ACACAGTCCTTGGAGTGAATGCAACTGAGAGAGTGTATTGCTTAGTAGGAGTCCCGTTTCAGCCTACGAAGAAAGACTTACTCAACGATTTCAAAGCGAGCCAAGGCAACAATGTACGAAAAAAAAAAAACATTTTTACCTCAGGCGCGCGAGAATGTGTATCGGAAATTCTAAAGATAGGCTAATTTAAAAATTATTTTGCGATATTGCTGTTGAACTTGTAAGATTTATCCTAAGTTGCCTATCCAGTTATTTTGAGTTAAAGCGACTTTCCTATCGTTCTTAATTTTAGCTTACAATTTCCGACCAGAATGTGTTTTCAGAATCGCGGTTAAATGCAAATGATCGATTTAAAATTGAAGTTCCACTGACTTCGTTAGAGAGCCAGAGTTTCTGACTAGCGCGCGTTCGCCTTCTGGCTACCACTTTCTGTAAGCTTTTACTACGCTTGGCCGTATTTCAGGCCCTTGATAGCTTCGCTGTTTTTAGTTAACATTAACCTGTTAACCGTGGCGCTCTCGTTTAATAGCGCGCACCGTTTTGTATCGCCAGAATCGAGCCATGATGAGTATACGCTGACTACCAATAAGTATTTGGACACCTGTGATAGAAAAGAAAAACTAACTTTTTTTCAAAATCAATAGTTGGTAGAACCTCCACGAGAGGTAATTACAGCGTGGACCCTCCGGAGCATACTTTCCACTAGTCTTTGTATGACAGCTAGTGGTATTTTCTTCCACTCGGCTTGGAGAAAACATAGAAGTTCCTACACCGATTTTTCACGAGTAGTGCACCCCTGAATTCGGCGATGCAACTCGCCCCAGAGGTTCTCCATAGGGTTCAGGTCTAGACTCTGGGCAGGACAGTCCATTCGATGAACTCCATTGGCACCATACCAAGCCTTGGTTAACGTCGAAACATGACAACTGGCATTGTCGTCCTGAAAGTAACAGGGGTCCAACCCGTAAAACTGTCACGATGTAGGAAGCACATTGTCATTCAAAATAGTGCAGTAGGCATCGGAGTTGAGCTTACCCTGAATGGGGACAAAGGGCCCCAGCCCATACCAGGAGAAACACCCCCAGACCATAATTCCACCTCCGCCGAACTTGACTATTGGCACAATGCATTCTGGCAGGAGACGTTCTCCAGGTAGACGCCAGACCCAGACCCTGCCATCCGAACGGTAAAGGGTGAACCTTGATTCGTCACCGTTTCCACTGATCTACGGTCCAATTTCGATGTGCTTTGCACCCCATTAACCGAGCAGCGCGGTTGGACTTTGTGATCAAAGGCTTATGGGCAGCAGCACGACCACGAAAACCAAGCAGATGTGCTTCCTTACGGATGGTATTTATTAAAACAGTACTCCCGGATGCCTGTTGAAACTCCTCGCGGATGAGGGCCATCGGTTGGGTGCGGTTCTTCCGAATTTCTCTGGACAGCACTCGTCGGTCTCTATCTCCCAGTTTCGTCGGCCTGCCGACTCGGAGCTCATTCCGACAATCACCGCTCACCTTCCACTTCTTAATCACATAGGCCACTGTCGATTTTGGGTACTTCAGATCGCTAGATATGTCCCTTAAGGATCGGTCACATTTGTGATAACCGATAATTATACCTTTCTCGAAATCAGAGAGCTCCGAACTGCGAGGCATCTTGCATGCGACTAAAACCGATGCTGTTTCCTACACGATATATACTGGCGGATTCCGTGACGTACCTTAGGACCGCCGATATCGTCACTTGCATTGGTGTCCAAATACTTATTGGTAGTCAGTGTATTCGTCCATCACAGAGTAAGTTGTGCTGGTTAACATAAGCATATAGTACATACATATTGAACTAAAACGCAATCAATTAAATTAAATATTATACATATAAAAGTAAGATTTTAAATTCCTGCTGTGAAGTGATATTCAGCGAAACAGGGTACTATACACAATGGGACTTCGCAAATCGAATACCAGCAATGCGATTCCTTCCTGATCTTACGTTTGTAGCAATGCTAATACCTTCGCGTAGGGTTGTTCTTTTTTCCGATGTTCGGGGTATATAATCCGGAACATGATTCCCGCCTAATTGGCTAATATTAGGTCTAAATGGCCGAGTTTTGTGTCGATTTATTTCTTTCAATTTGGATACGTCGCAAAAGTGTTTTCAATCAAGTGTGAGCCAAAATGTTGATACGCGATAATGTTCCATTATTTTTTTTATATAATATGAATGCATTCAGATCCATAAGGTCTAAGAAATGCAGAAATATCTTTTTATAGTACTTTTTGAGTCGTTTTCTTCCTGTGGAGTACGTTTTGATAATTCCATCGCTCATATCCACTCCACCCATTTTTACTTCCTTGTACGAAGTAAAAAGGAAGTATTGTAATCGCGAAAAGTTTCAGGCAGCATATTTCACCGAAAATATTCATTTTGACCACAATCGAATGCAATTTAACGACGTATTTGCTTGATATCAGCACGTAAGAACAGAATAAAATACTCGTTTCCTCCAAAACAATTATAAAACTGCTTTAAAATGAATTGTGAAGAGAATTTTTCGTGGCGTCTGTACGAACGTATGTACGTAGTACGTATCTCGCATAACTCAAAAACGAGTAGACTTAGAACGTTGAAATTTTGTATATAGGACTGCTATAACATGTGTACCTCGTATTTTGGTTGCAATGGGCCGCGCCAAATGTATATAAATATATTTATATATATAATCCACTCTGTTACCCGGCTCAGGGATCTCAGTTTCTTTACTCTTATATGTTTGTAAATTGTACATTTTTTTGCTTTAAAAATGATTGAATTTTATGTTTGTTTTTATCTTCCGGTTAAGGTTTTTATGCCTTTAGTAAATCTGTATGCAATATTTTTAGAATTATCAACAATTTTAAAGTTGTTTAAGTGCCGCTAAGCCTTTTTTTTTATGGCGGCCGTTGATTGTTTTACATTTGAAACGCCACAGGCAGACTAGTGGATTTGTTGCCAATCTAGAGAAACTTAGCTTCGTAACAACAAAGATAACGCCTTCATTTATTATTGCCAATTAAATTATACCTAATCCTTTCTGGAATTTTTTCGAGGAAATAAGTGTTTAAGATTTACTTCGTAATTTTTAATATAGATATTTTGAGTTTTTATGTATTTTTGCCTTCTGGCGAAGCGAGAACTGAATTAATTAAATGAGAAATATCAATCGTCTGTGAAAAACTGTTTCTTTTTTGTTTTGTTTGCTTAATTTCTTTTATACATCATTCAAGCTAGAATAGTATTTGAACTATTATAGTATTTGAATAGAACATGTGGCAACGATTAGATAATTCTGTTCTTTAAATGATATAAATTTTGTGCATTATGAGTTATAATATGAACGAAATATATAAGTTAACTGTTATATAATTATTGGATTATATAACAGTTAACTGAGTTTCCGTTATATAATTATTATATATGTTAACTGTTATATAATTATTAATACTGTTAAGTGAATCTAGCGCCAGAGTGTAGCTATGGTAAGCAAATACTAGAGTGAATTTTAAAGAATGTATTTATTCTGTTGTGGTTATGCGCTGTCGGCGAAGTAGATTTAATTCAATCCGATAAGTTTAAACGAAATGCAAGAAAAAATGCATATAATTTAATATTCCGTACAAGGAAGTCATGTGGTGTACACATCAGATTTTTTTTATTATAATAAATCACTAGCTCCGGTTTCTTTGTTATTATTTTTCTTTTCTCTGTTTCTATTACGTTGCTTTATACGCGCGTTGCTTACACTGCTTTATACGCATGACGAGTATACTCGTCAATACACAAAATCGTGCCGCTTCTCTATGACGAGTATACTCGTCAATCACAGATAACTGGTTAAGAGGCCAAGTCCTGTAGAATTTTGATAGCTTCCGCGATATCTTTTTAGTTAAGTTTATTTCTTAGTATTCTTGAGTACAAGCTTAAGTAGAGGCTTTTCTGTGCGCCCTGAGAGAGGACCGATTGTGAAATTTATTTTGAGCAATAAAGGGTAATTAGCCCTTCTTAATTCTCTTTCTCGTGAAATAAAGCAATTATTCTCTTACCTTATCAGGACTTGTATTCCTCTTAACTTGCTTTGGAAACATGAACTGTCCTGACTCGGAACAGGGAGCTTACTCAAGCTATGTTCAATAAATGTGGGAAGTAGACAATACACACAGGAAGTGTATACGAAACCCTTTATTTTTCTATCTTTACAGAGATTTCCGGAACTTCGGACTACAGAGACCAACCACTTGTGGTCTGAACGTAAGAATATAAAACTACTAACTAAACTCTAACTAAAACTAACTTTGGGATTAATATACAAGTGCCTAACTTTAAGATTGGCCGTTATTTAAAAAAATCCGTATGTAGTACAGAGAGCTGCTAAAACTACGATATGTTTAAAATTATCAAGAGGACTAAACCTCTGGCCTTGAAGGCAACCAGCAAACGAGTAAAACTACTATGGCAATCGACTTGCAATAACTCTTTCCTCTCTCTTGCTTGACAAAAAGCCACAACTTAAGTACTTGGCGTTAGCAGGACAAATTTGCATAAATAAGTTAAAGCTTTTAATTCTGGCCGGAAGTAGAAAATAAGAAGTGATAGTAAAGATTTAAAACAAAATAAACGTTAGTAAAACTTAGGATCCTTACAACCTGTTCTCAAGGTTCTGCACATTTAGCTGTAAATCCTACATTGGAACATTACAAACTTTATGGCTTAAGTGCGAAGAACATGATATTTAATAAATAAAAGTAACACACAAAACATAAAATGCCGCTTTGGGCGTAATATAAAAACTGAAAGCTTTCAGATTTTTATTTTTCCTTGTTATCTGTCCTACACTTCTATGCTATTATTTTTATACTACACACTATCCTACTCATTGTATGCTATCATTTTTACATACTTTCATTCTATCAATTTCATTTCATGCTATCTTTCTCAATGTAATTATCATATTTTTTTAGTGGGATGGTGCCAGTACATTCGATTTCCGAGCCGCAGAGAGAGCTACTATATATGATTCAAAAATACGCTTGCGGGTGATCAAACACTATGTGAGAGCTATCTTCGGCAGCAAGGATGTGAATTTGAAAGTCAAAGACTTTCTCACTACATTGGGAGTCGAACCTTCTTATCCATGGTCTGTAGTTGCCGGGTATGAGAATATTATCTGCATTTTAAAGAATTTTCACAAGTGCACGGGCCGTCCATGCGTCAAAGAACTCAGGAGAATGCCAAAGATGACGAAGTTAAGGAAAGTTAAAAGAAAGTCAAAAACGAAAAATGTGGAAGAACTTTCCAGAGAAAAAGAGAAGAGTAGAGAAAAATTATCAACAATTCCTAAAAGTTATTATCCGGAACATTACATCTGAAGTTCTAAAAATTTCAAATATTATTTTTCCGTATGAAATTATACTACCGAGATATTAAAATATATTTTAATTATGAAGACATAGTCATTTTAAAGTTATAATTGACATTTAAGAAAAAGAACATTTCTTTATCATAATACACTGGTGTGCAAAAATTAAGGACGAGACGGTTTTTTCAATATAACTTTGTACAAAAGCTTTCCAAATCAACACATTTAATACCGTAAGATCCCCAATACGTAAAGACATGAGTAATTTAAGCAACACTTACTAAAGAGAAATCAGAGGGATAAAAAGAAGCTTTATTGAAAAAGTAGGTAGCACGGAGCGCAATGCGACTGAAGGCCGAAACGTCCCCCCTGTGATGGGTGTCCAGCAAGAAACATCCGGTCTTTAATAGGGGATATGATCTCCCCTGACTGCTAGGCAAGGTTTCACAGCGTCTGCCCATGCTGAGAATGAGGGTGTCAATGAGTTGTTGAGGCACTGCTGCCCATTCGTCTTGCAGCGCCAATCGAAGGCCGGAATCGTTACTGGTGGTAAGGTACGAGCTGCCAAGCGTCAGCCTAGAAAATCCCATACATGCTCGATGGGATTGAGATCCGGAGATCGTGCCGGCCAATCCATACGTTCAATATCCTCACTCTCTAAGAGCTGTTCGGCAGCTACTGTGCGATGACATGGTGCATTGTCGTCCATGTGAAAGGAACTGCGGACCCATAGCGCCTCTAAAAAGACGCACATATGGAAGAAGAATCTCGTTACAATAACGGGTCCCGTTGACTGAACCTGCGTCGATGATGTGTAGGTCTGTACGACTACCAAGCATGATGCCTCCCCAAACGAGGACACCTCCATACCTGTCCCTTTCAATGATGTTCGAGGGATGATTGCGGCTTCCCGCTCTCTCCACATGAGTATGCGATGAGAATCGCTACTCAGACTGAATCTGCTCTCATCTGTAAAGAGTACTCGTCCCCATTCATTGTCTCTCCAATTCCGGTGTTCCCGGCACCACAGAGAACGCCCTCTCCGATGGGCAGGCGTTAGAGGTACACAACCGTACAGGGGTCGTGCAAACAGACCACCACCGTGCAGTTTCTGGCCACGGTAAAACGCGAATCGGTCGTCCAGTCGCCTGTGTCGTGTGTCTAGCGATTTCTCCGCTGTCTGCCGCCTGTTTCTCTGGCCTGTAAGGCAATATAGCGGTCATTGCGGGTGTGGTTCCTCGTGGACGACCACTACTAAACCCGATAGCTGTTCCTGTAGTTTGAAATTGTCTCCAAAGTCGTGAAACGATGCTTGTGAGCAATTCCGAACTCTGCAGCCACACTTGTCACACTGCGGCCTTTCTCCAACGTCCCAATGATTGACCTCGGGTAAAAGCATCCAAATGTCGTTCTAACAGATTGATTATTCGCCATTTTTCGCTGAGGCAGCAACTCGGTGTGATTTTAACTGTATACGGCGTGCAAATCTTTGCCAGAATACTGATCTTACACCGACAACATGCTTTATACTACTCAGACACTCCCCCATTACGTTTACCTGCATATCTGGGCATGTGCTACCGTACATCACCTACTTAATCTCCTGATTGGTCTTTCTGTCCCCTCTACCTCTTCGTTCAGCTTATATGCTAATTGTTCGACTTCGTCCTTAATTTTTGCACACCAGTGTAAATAATTTCTAACTTACCTGCATCTAAGCATGAGGGCCATTTTTATTCTATAAAAGAGCCTGCATGCAAGAAACACTGTGGGGCCTATGTTTCTTAGGTATATAAAAAAAGTAATACCATTTCACAGGAAAGGCTAAGTACAATAGTAGCAAGAAAATAAAATAAACATACAATATATTTATTTGCTATATCATGAACAACATTTGAAAACACAATTTCTATAATACTTTTCTCTTTATTCAATACTAGCAACGATGCGGCCAGGCTTCGTCTGGCTTTTAAATGTACCGGAAAAATGGCTGAAGGAAACACAAAGCGTTAAAATTAAAAACTGCGCAGAATTTTACTCTGCAGAACAACTTCATAAAAATAAATAAATAAATAATTAAAAAATGTATTGCATATAACAAAATTACAATGAAATAAGCAATATCTCTTAATACAAATATTAATTATCCTAATAAATAAATTAACCCATTGCCTTCTCTCGACAAACATCCAGTATCCAAGAAAAACATTAAATTTAAAAACTGCACAAAATAATCGCCCTAATTTTCCCAAGTGGCAACAGTGCTGATTTTCAACAGTCAGCAATCCAGTATACAACTGAATGAAAAACTGTTGCCAAAACCACATTTGTAAAAGAATGAAACTATGCAAAATGATGCGATAAAATCGAAAAGATTAAAAAAAAAAAAAAAAAAAAAAAAAAAAACCTGATTCGAATTTTGAAAAACTCGCTTCGAGGTGCACCGGCTCTTGTCTAGATGCACCTATATACCAAATTTCGTAGCCCTGGGTCTATTAGCTTACGCGCAGCACGAACGAAAAGACACACAAACTCTTTCTTTTATTATATGTAGAGATATATTTGCGCTTAATAATTCATATCACTTACAAAGGCCAATTTTGTAACATTGATTGAAAACGTAAAAATTACTCAGAGCATTCTTAAAGTAAAAGAACGTTCGCATTTATATACGTCTTAGAAAATTCAAAGAAAGTTCTCAATGCAGCTTGTACATTTCACAAGCATGTTTTCATATAATTCACTTGATAAGGTATTTTTTCTCTCCTTTCAGCATGCCTTCGTGGTGAAACGGTAAGCACACTCGGCACGTATTCGAGAGGTCCAGATTCGATTCCCGGCGATGGCATTATACAGTTTTCTTGTCTTCTACTAAAAAAATTAACCTAATAACTCTACAATTTCGCCCGAATTAAAAGGTGGTGGAGGATGATTGTTTGGCGATTGGGTCCCCTAATCTTCCATTCACCCTTTAAACGGGGGAGTATATAAGGTATTTTCTCCCGGCTTTCAGCATGTCTTCGTGGTGTAATGATAGCAAACACAGCGCGTATTCAAGAGGTCCAGGTTCGAGTCCTGCCGAGGGCTATTGCGCATGTCCTACTTCAAAACAACCTAATGACTCTACAAGTTCTATTCCATTTTACACCTCTCTTCGAACAGTTCGATATTCATTAAAGTAGGAAGCGGATTGATTTAAGTAAATTCTTAAAATTCATTTGAGGCGATGCGCCCGAATATACTCCTGGCTGCCGTGTTAGTTGTAACCGTATTTCCATCCTCGTATTTCTTCCAGAAGACTTCCAGAAGTAGAAAGTACGAGAAATATCTCGCTACCGCTTGAAAGCTATATAAGGAGGGAGAAAGAGCATCTGAGATCCCAATTGCTCAGTTATTGGTGTTGGGAGTTGTTTAGTTCCGCGTAAACTGAGGTATCCAAGTGAGCTTTCTCTTTAGATGCTTTTGTATTGCGTTGTGTTTAACGTTCTTAGTAGTTTGAGGTCCAAGTACTGATTATTCTGCTTGATATTATGAACACTTGTGCGAATATCTGTGAGGAAAATTCAAGAGTTATGATGTATTTCTCTTGATAAGAATAAATTTTATTTACCTATTATCGGACTTCAATCTATTGTGAACCCATACGCACGCAACATTTATTTTCGAGAATGCGCAAGTACCTGCCTTGCTTTGACCAGTACCTGCACTTCTGGTGTGCAGATAAATACTCTTAGCATAGGCAAGCAGTCTTAGCATAATCAGTTCATTAAGGGAATACTGTAAATGAATATGAATGATAGCCCATTTATAATTGTACGAAGATTATAGAAAATTAGAATCATCCATGTCTATAGCAGTAGATTTGTACTGTGCTCTGGTACAATACACTGCATAATGTATTTGCAAATGAACGTGCCTTGTAATATATCAGTAATTGTATTATATGTTGGTAATATATCAGTAATTGTATTATATATTGGTAATATAATTGTATTATACAGAGGTTGTTCGCACATTTTTAAGGCGATTTTGGTAAGCGGTAATAAAAAAATTGTTTGCAGCAAAAGAAGTAATTGCAATTGTACTATGTTTTTAAAAGTGAAAATTATTGTCTGTGGCTTGAAAGTTTGGTTTTTATTCAAAATGGCGAATTTAACAAAGCAGTCGTTCGAAGGCTACATTGACGCTCTTTCCGAAGAGAAATAGCATACTCCGTTATCCAAAAACGATGGGAGAGTCATGGTTTTGTGATATCTAAAGCGTCGATAGGTATATCATCAACAAGAAAGGAAAAAAACGTCAAATTGGAGCCTCAAGTGGGACACAAATTCCAAACAAGTATCCAAGGAAAAAACGGACATCTTCGACTATTGCAAAGGTACACTGTGTAATGTTAAAAGAAAATCCCTCTAGTCAAAGGACAGTTGCAAAATCATTAAAATGCTCGGTGTCCACTGTAAACAAAATGATAAACGTTGATTTAAATCTGAAGAAAGCAAAAAAACGCGATGTGCATCGTCTTCTTCCAAAGCATATCGCTCAACGCAGGACACGCTGCAGAATTCTATATGAGAAACACTTATCCAAAGAAAAATGGAAAATAACTGTCACAATAGATGAAGCATGGGTGTTTTTAAATGATTGTACAAAAAAAGAGCCATTTATTATCATAAAAGGGGAGAAAAAAAATTTAAGTACATGGTTCAAAGAATCGAAAGAAAGTTTTCTAAGGTTCATGATTGTGCTAGTTTTTCTCGTAATGGCAAGTTAAAATAAAGAGAGTGAAAAAAAACGTCAAAATTAACTCCCAAATACTATCAGGAACAATTTTATCGCCAATTTGCTGAATGAAACACCATCGCTTTACCCACAGTGCCATATCGAAGACTCCATCAGGACAAAGCTAGCAGTCACACATCAAAATCCACTGTAATTTCCTAAAAGAAATGGAACAAAAAACTGGTATTAAGGCCATACCCTTCACTAATATCCCTACTAAATTCCCGATGTGTCACCTGTGATTTTTGTGCTTTCGGACTTTTAAAAACTGCAATATCCAAACGTTGTCC